TTGCATTAATAAGTTCATCCCAAAATATATATGCAATAATATAGGAAATTAAGTTATAAATGTAGGGATGTGCTCCGAGTCACCATGAAAATCTGCATGCAAATGCATAATAATCACAAATCTACATTATTACAATATTAAAAAATACCTACAATTAAATTATCATGTGGAAATAATCATAATGTTATTGGAAACTCAATTATTGTGGCAACCCTTGTCGGGGAATTAGCAGGCTATGGCAAAGGCAAGTCAGACCTGAATTCATCAAATATATATTATCACAATATTACATGTTCACTTCGATTCCATGCAAAGACAAACATCCTCACTCACTAGTATCTGCTCAATGCATTTGTATTATTCATGAACAACTCTGTGATCTATTATACATACAAAACTGATTGTACGCTGCTTGCCGGAGGCTACAATGCAGAGACACAGAATTAATTTTATTATATACACATGCATGATAATTGTGTAGAATTCGGTCAAATATCAAACTCTGCTCCTGTGCTCCATTATTTTACTTTCCAAAAAGAGGTCTAAGGTCAGCAGCAATTTCTCTTTGGTGACAGTGAAACTCTTTGTCATTTAGAGTAGAAAGTTCCTGGGTACTAATGAGCCTGGAGCTGTGATGAATGGTCACACATTCCCTTTCCTCTCCAACCCCCAGCCATCAAAGGAAACTGTAACTTTTATTGAGATTCTCAAGAATTCCTTGCCTCTCATGCAAACAAAAGTCACTTTGGGCTGCAGACTTAGAGACTTGATTTGTCAGTGACTGGGGCAACTTTTGTGTGTGTGTAGGGGGGGGGGAACTTTACTAAAATGTTATGAGATGATGATCAAAACAACCAGGGAAACTTTTTTTCCCAGGTACTGTAGTTTTATTTCTGTAGGAAGTACTGTTATTTTCAAGATGTTAAAGTAAACCCTTCAGAAGTGTTTTCACAGAGCTAATCCAAATTTTTACCACGAACAACCAACAATTACCTCCCTCTTTCTTAGGAAGGCCCTTTACTTCTTCTCCCGAATCTTCCTAAATGTTTTGACAGAAACACAAAGTCTAGTAACGTCCAAAAAGATTCATAATTATTTGAAGACTCAAGGAGAGAGACGTGTATCACACCTGAGAAGGATTTGTTCAAGGTGCACCACCTGCAAGTTCTAGTCTGCATTCAGATGTCACCAAAAGTCAGTGGGACCCTTGATTTGTCTATATGCTTCAGATTAGGTCAAAGTCAGGCCCAGGGGAGTAAGCGTCGCACCAACAGCAATTATTGTTACACAGCTTCAGAGATGAGTATCGATTCCAAGACTGCAGGTACACAATACCCCTTTGTACAAATGTACCCCAATGATCTGGGAGAGTTATTTCAGGAAAGAGAAAAAGCTCATCCTTAATCGACCAAGAAACTTCCAATTTTTCATTCTCAGCAGTTTAAAAAAAACAAACAAACCTTGAAACACTTTCCTGTATTTCTATTCACTCCCACTTTCTCCCCACCATCCAGACTTTTGGGGATCACAGTTATCTGAACCTCTGAGCTTTGAGGCTGAAGAAAATTTACTCCCTGTCCACTGTATTCAGAGTCAAGTCCCATTTGAGGATATCCTAAAGTACCTTCTTGCATTATTGTGCTGCTTTCAACAGTCGTAAGCAAAAGGTACGCTCCACTGCATTTACATTCCATATTCATGAAATCCATAGAAATAAACTGTAAAAAGGACTCTAAAGGGTTCCCGTAAGTCTACTTATCAGCCAGTGGGAAACATAAACATCCTCCTCTTTAAAACAATCTTTCACTATGCTTATGTCATGCCCAGACTCCATAATTTTTGTATCTCTGAGCAATGCAGGAATTTAATGCATTTAATAATAATGCACAGCTTCTAAGTTTACCACAATATCACAAATTTACTATAAATAGGTAAAATCATCGTTATTCTAATTAAGCAATGTGATAGACACATGAAAATCTCTAGATGGAGGAAATGAGCTAATCCTTCACAGAACCTGATGTCTCATCACAAGAGGTAACAAGTGAACGAAGCTGGGCTGTTTATCTTGGCTGACTTATAGCCATCAACAGCAGAAACAGCAAAAACACAGCTCTAACAAGTCTCCGGGGTGGACCAGCTTTGGGATGTGCCGCAGAGGTCAGTCTAGCTAATGAAATCTAATGAAATGCTGGAGGTGCAAAGGAAAAGCCCTTTTGTTAAAGAATGTCCCTGTAATGCATTTTATCGCTTAATCATTTATAACTTCATTCTGTTCTTAAAAATCTCTGCTTTTAAGTAGGCATAAATTACATCTTGCTCAGCAACGGCAGTGACTTCGAGGGAGCCAGCACCTTTTCCGCATTCCCCTCTTTTGTAGTGAAACCACTATCGCTTTCCGCCATTTCAGAGCGCTGAATCGGCTGGCTGCGTAATTAGGGAAGCGTCAGAGCTGTGAGTACGTGAGCAGCAGGACCTTAAGGCTCAAGCAGCATCATTTAACTTCAGCCTTTGCTGCAGATAGGTAACACAAGCTGTCAGGTTGAAGAGAAGATTTCTCTTGGAGATTATTAGCCTGAGGCTCTCTGGCAAGCAATAAGATAGTGGGGAGTAAGGCCCTACTGAAATTGCCTATTTTGCTACTGTTACCTAAGACCCATGAGTTCTTAGGTGCATACATGAAACTACAGCAGTCCAAGCTTGTACCTCTTAATAGCACTGAAGTTACGCGGTTTGGGTTCAGATAAAAATACAGAGTTTGAGAGATTTGTTTGAATCTCATCCAAGCTACTGAACCTCCTAACCACATGAGGAGGTCAAGGAACTGAAGCGGACACATTTTCACTAGACTTCAGACTGTTGTTTTGCCTGCTTTGCCTGAAAATACCTCCATGGGTTTCTCATGGTATTCCGACACTTTCCAGCTTGCCTTCAACAGTTAACACATACAGGAGAAAATAATAGCTGTTAAGCCACATTTTCCAAGATTATAAAATACACTTATTTTAAAAGCCTGTACTTTTTAATTGGTTTGCCCATCTCCACTTGTTAGTAGCCGCACACTAGAATCACCAGCTAAAGAGCAAACTGTTGCAAAGACAAATGTTCTTGTTATTTCCTCAGTTAACATTTATTTTGCATATGTCCATAAAAGCACTACGTGGAAAAAGCGTGCACACACAAAGCAAATCTTGGCTTCATTTTCTTGCCAGCTATCAGACAGCATTGATCATGCATAATTCTTTTTGTATTTAATATTCATATTGCAGAAGCATCTACTGTTCCCAATTAGAATCCAAACATTTTTTATGAGAGTTGGTGTACAAAAAAGGATTGTCACAGTTTTGCCACAAAGTACTTACAGCTGAATAGTTTGACAACCCAGCTATTGCTGCACTCTGTATTGTGTAAGAAGTATTTTTTCTAATGTTTTCCTAATCATCTTTCAAAAAAGAAATTTAACACTATTTTAATAAGTAGCTCTGTCTGAGAGCGGCAAACAATGTTATTAATTACTAAGGCTGTTTCACTAAAAGCACCTTCGCTCCAGTGGTGTAGGAGAAACAGCATATAGTAACACGGGGCATTCCACTTCTTGCAACAAATGCAGGACATCACTCTACTTCAGCAGCTACAGAGGTAAAATAGCTACTTTGCATAACAGATTTGTTTTTGTTTTTATGTATATATTTTATTTCTGTGGAAATTCAATGACACGATAGTATTAACTAAGTTGAACTTAATTCAAAAGATAATTTGGGCCAACCATTTTCTTTTTTATAGTTGTACAAGAATTAACAGAAGTATCCATTTTGGCTTTCCTCCTAATGGAAAAATTGGACACTTGATTTCAAAATTCAGTAATATTTAAGAGATGAACCCCTTCTCCCACACTCCCTCCTCCAGAGGAGACAATCTAACAGTGATTTGCTTGTGTTTGGTTTAACGGAGCATCTACTTTGACACTTATCTGATGACGCTAAGACTTTTTTCTGTTTAGGTGGTACAAAAATCAAATCTTTGTACAGCCCTGTTGGCCACGATCAGCCTTCCTTCTTGGAAGGCATATTAAGAAAGAAGAAATTTCCTTTGAGATATCTTTAGTATTTAAGTATTCTTTGGAAAACCTGTATTACAGAGAGAGAACAGCTTTCCCAAGGCTGAGCAAAGACACGGATGAGATCAGAGCACAGGAGTAACAGCCCTCAATCATATACGATCCCTAGCTCTCTTTTCTGCAGCCCACTGCAGATTTGGGTGGCCAAAGGCCACCCACATGAGGCAGTGCAGGATGCCTCTTCAAATATCTCTTTGATGCCAAGGATGCTTCTGTGGTAATTCTGTGTATGAAGTTACAGACTGATGCTGTATAACAGGCTACACGTGGGCCCAAAGAGACAAACAAGCCTATCTAAGGTGGTGTGTATCCAGAGGGCTTCCAAAATTTTGGGTGCACGGAAATACAGAGATGAAATAATGACAACATTGTGCTGCATTTCAATTGTTGAATTACTTCAATACCTTGCTCACAGATGTGTCCATGTGAATCTAATCAGCCAAACTCTTTGCAGACAACAAAGATTATTTTGAGAGACTATTCCTGTTTCTACTACAGAAAAAGAACTAGTTTTCCATGACCTTGTATACAGGTATACAGCATGCGCACACACACACACACCCCTCTATACATACATGAATAAGCTGAGGATAAAAGATTCCTAATCATAGCAGACTCTTCCTCAAAAATATGACTTCTAGTAACAGACTCACCTTTTCATGCAGAGGGGAAAAAAAAAAATCAAATCTGCATGATTGTTCATCTACACTTATAACACTTATACACAAAGACACTTATAACACTTATAACAAAGACACAGCAGGGGAAATGAAAAGGTGGCACGGTTAGAAATAAGTATCCGAAAAAAATGAGATTTTTTTACATATTACTTTAAACCCGAAACAAGGAAACTTTTTAATAGATATTTTTCCTGAATCATTTTGGTTCAGATTCTGAAAGAGCACATTGCTCTGCTCAATTTGCGATACAGTAATAGGGACGATATAAATGTTGCCCTTTGAAAGCATACAAAAAAGTTAGACCTTTTTTCTTTCATTTTCCCTGGATTTGTTTGTTGCTTACTGACATCAAATTCCCTGCAGGCATCCTAACCTTACAATTTTAGGAACAGCGCTCTAGGGTTTTCCAAGTGTCTAATACACCTGGATAAAAAGTGCTAATTGTCACCAACTTCCATTAAATGACAGCAGTAAGGCACAATGCTTGATGCTTGATTTGCAGACGCTAACGCCACTGGGAGTTAGCAGCAGATTACTAATTGTGCAGACCTTGAACATTCCCCTGGCACTGCCAGTCTGGGTTTCCAATATAATACCAGATTATTAAGTCTTTGTTTTTAGCTTGCTTTCTTAAGGAAATAAGGCTTACGCAATTGCACTCTCTCTGTACATGTGTTTGACTGTCCTACCTTCCCGCAATAATTTCACTTTCATCCATTTTTATAGAAGGATAGAGATCACAAACATATGATGGACTTAGAAATTTTGTGGAAAAACAGGCAGCTCGGTAGAGGAGAGAGAGACTTGGTGCTCAGTCTGAACCATGGGCTCTGAAGTCCAAGAGGTGCTGAAAATCCACAGCGGCGAGAAGCACTGACACAAAATCCATGGGGAACCCACGCTTCACCAGTTCACCAAGGCTGAACTTCTCTGTTTTCACTTACCCCAGCTTTCTGGAATATGGGTATTCTTGAGGACAACCAAACCGTATTTCTAGTCAAGTTTTGTTACTGCTGAAAGCACAAGGGAGATGTGCAACACAACATATTCAGCAGGCAGCAGCTGTGGCATTTGATCATCTTTACAGATCAGGTGTCAGACTAGGTTCCCAGTTTTCTCTTTTCTAAAACGTATATGGCAAATATCCTATTTCAACCTGAGGCCTTGAGTACGCATTAGGATCCAACTTCTTGCACAGATTCCTCCAGATAAATTCAGGGGCCAACACTTTAAATCCACTTTCTTCGTATTCTGTTGCTCCCTCTCTGCTCTCAGTACATCTGGGCACATACTCTTGGCTATTAAGGGTACCACCCCTATGGCATGAAAGCTTCCTGACGGCTCCAGTGGCATTGCAAAGCTCACTTCTGCATGCAGCAACATGACTATGGTGAGGGTGAGGGCAAGGTTGAGCAAATGTGTTTCAACACTTCTTTCTTGGTATTTATTACTGTACCATAGCATTACTGCAATCTGGCCTGCTGCTGCTCCAGCTGCTTATGCAAACTTCTGATGGAGCGCAAAAGCAGAAGTCTTCGGTACATAGCTAGCTGGAGCCGATACTTCTCCTTTTCCTCCTTTTTCCTGTTTTCTAAGGTCTCCGTTACTTTTGTGGTCTTCATCCAAATTGCTTGGCCCAGGCTACAAGGGACCGTATCATCCTCTGTGTCACTGCAGGTGTGCTGCGTTTTGGGACCCCCTGCATGACAGCAACCAAATTTGCTTACTAGCGGGGCGGCAACAGCTTGCAGCTCATGAGACTCATTGGAAGCCCTTGGGAGCTGTGACTCTTCCGAATTCTGATTGCAGTCCCAGCGGAGGCTTTCTGAGCCTGGGAAGGTTAGGTCCACAGACTCCAGCTTACAGACTGCCATGGGATGCGACAAGCCATCTAATGACATATTGACATCTGTTGAAAGATACTCGGAGAACCCAGAGACCGTGCTTTGTGCCTTGTCACCACTGATGATCTCTGGTCCAACAGGAGCTTTTTCCTGGGCCACGGCCAGGCTAAAGAGAACAGATGACTCTTCTGGCACTGCTGAGCTTCCCTTGCCTTCATGAAGACTGGCTAGCAAAGGACTGGCAGGGCTACTGGAGGGTGCTGTAACAGCATCACAATTCTGAAGTGGGTCTTCATCACCGTTATTTTGGATCTCCTCTTCATCTCTTGGCATTAAACCTACTTTCTCAGCCATTTATTGCATGAGCTACAGAAACTTTCTGTGGACAAAGTGGAAGTAAGAGGATTTCATTTCCACACACAGACATGCGCATACACAGAAGCCCAATGCAGAGTGACATTTGAAGAAAGAATCTCTCTTTATATTTAAGCAATGGACCTATTACTTTTCTAATAAAGCACAACCCTTGGGTCACTTCAGGCCATTTCTCATGATTTGCATTAGATGTTCTTTGAGACACAACATTAATCCAATAATAATTAAAATGATATACTGTACTATTAACATTCTCAAATCTTTAAAGCAAAGTGATCTATCCCTGCAGCACTGCCTGTGCTGACTAATTAAACAGAATACAGTTGTAAATGGGTATTGTAAGCACTTCTCCCATTTACGAACACAGCTCTAGCAAGTGTAGTTTGTAGTGATGGGTGAGTTATCAGGATTGATCAGCTTTAAAGAGACGTGGCTGTACCACAAACAGCAGGTTGCATTTAAATTCCCTCTCCTAGATTAATCTGTCTCCCACCAGTTTGTTTATAAGGTTGCCTTTTTCCCCCCTATTAATTCTCTTTTAACAGTAGAGCTATTTTAGCACTAGGCATAGACAGGAAAAAAGCACTTACCGAGGTTAGTGGGGGAAAAAAAGAGTTAGAGTGCATTGTGTCTGTGCATCATGTTTTCCTGTATATGAGTCAGCAAAACCTGGAACAGAAACATCACGGTGCAGAAGCAGCAGCAGCAACACCATTGCTCTGTTCCACCCAGCAACAACACAGTGAATCCCAATCACAGGAGTGCAGGGTTTGGTATTTTCCTTTTTTTCTTCCCCTCTTTTTCTCCCCCCTCCCACCCCGAAAAGCATATTCCTCTCTGGCCTCCAGCTTTTACGTTATGTCTGAGCATCAAAACGAAAACCAGGGTCAGATAGCGTTCTTTCAGCCTCAAAACCAAATGTGCCCGATTCACTCATGCTACAGGGGTACAATATATACAGCACTTTTCCCCTCTGTAAGTCAGCGAGGAGCAAATGCAGCACCCAAAAGAGGGCGAGACGTTCTGGGCGCCTGCGTACACACATGTTCCTTCAGAGAAAATAAGCATAGAGAAACTTTAGATGCATTAACAAACCAAATCCAAAAAAATGAAGCAAGGATTCAGCACCACCAAATCCTATGCATAAAAGCAGGCAGAAGTTGTAGATTTAAGTGTCTAAGGAACACCCATATTTAATTATGCTGTCCTAATCTTTAAGAAAAAGCTCTACACCCAAGTATCAAGTACCAACACTTAAGTATCCCACAGAACAGTAAACTTTATCTGCACCTTTGATATTAGAAAATGTACCTCTGGGTTCCTCTCTCACTTGTAACACCAGAAACAAAATTCACAGCTCATCTATCTGCACCTACTTCAGTCAATTTGCCACAGGAATTAATTTGCCCCAAGCCTTTCTCTACTCCATTCTGCTAATATAAATAAAAGAAAGATCCAATCCAAAATACTATCTAGAATCTTCCTAGAGCTAGAAAAGAGTGAAGGTAGATCCTATCTCTACCTCTGTATATTCTGCAATATAGATAATCATTTATTATTCTTCATATATACTGACCATCCTTCTTTCTGACAAATCTGTTAACCAGGATACAACTCCAGCCTCAAACACGTGAACTTCAATTAACCTAAATTCAGATTTGTACCCTGAGGTTTAACTTGAATGCAAGGGTTTTTTGATACAAAAAATATATATTATGCATTGAACTGGTAAAATAACTAAACGTGCTGTGTTTATGTGCCAGATCATGTTGCAGATTATCTAAATAATACTAGGAAGAGATTAATATCCGGTGAGTTAATAACCTCAGCAAGTTTATATCTTGATGATTCCCATTTATCTGAATCACAAGTTACTATAATTGAAGAATATGGAATTCAGATAACGGGGATTTTACTGTGCTACACACTAAAAAGGTTCATTGTAATAGAGCATTATGTATTTAGTCTTTTATTTTTGGCTGCTCTCCTCTCCAAAGCACTGCAGGCATATCTCCCAACTACGAAGAGCACAGCAGGTGGGTGTTAGGTAGTACATGATCTCAAGCTATATTAATACTTTTCTATCAGTGATGGTATTCCATTTCTCACCTCTACTGTGCAGCTATTTTCTACTAAATATCTATTTTCTAATAGTTTAACAGGCCATGATAGACTGGAGAATAAAAAAGCTTCTCTGCAGCTTTAATTTTTTCAGCAAAAATTTGCAGGCAGTATTGTTGTTTGAATAAAGCTGGTTTGGTGCAACAAATTAGTTTTCATCAGTAATAATATAAAAATATTTTATAGGTGTGGATCTAGATGGAATAAATGACATCTGATACAATCAACTAAACAGTAAAACCACAAACAAAAATCAAAACTCATTGAGGTAGATGGCTTTTCATAGAATGTTACAACTTCAGCTATAATCTATGAAGCTTAATAGCAAAAAATATTCAGTCCAATGGATTTAGAGATTCAGAACAATAAACACACAGGAAGAGAGATACATACTTATTATTGCTAAAATGTAAGTGGCATTTATAGCTAAGGCTTCATGCATGCTTTATTATTATCCTGTTTTCTGTTGCTCACAATTTTCTAAAATTTCACCTAGAGCATCACATGAAATTTTTTAGATTCAGGTTCTGCCTGAAAGTGAATATATGTTGAACGCTTCAGCCAAAAAGACTGGGAAGTTTGAGGGCAAAAGCAGAAAGAAAAGCAGTTTTATGGGCCTTCTCAAAACAAAAAAACAACCCTCTGCCCACCCCTGCAAGAAAATCTCTAAGAAATGGGATAAGGGAAAATCCTGGAAACTGCCCTAAATACAATAATGTTTCATTTAAATATTTTGGTTAACATGTTCAGGTTAGACTCCAATTCTCCTGGGACAGGAAGCAGCAGACACACTTGCCTAAGGCTCCTCTCCTTTGCCATTTCAGTGGCCAAGGTAAAATTAGGTCCTGTAGCAGGTCTCATAGTTAATCATGCAACATGCTGAAAGATCAAACCATGTCATGACAAGCAGCTTATGTAAGAGCTTGATATGGTTACTGTTCAGATGTAAAAACTTCCTCAGAGGTTCCATATGTTGAAAGGGCTATTTAGGTAGCGCTGATTATGACCTTAGAGTGTATCAAATCATAGGTGTATGAAAGCGTGCTGCTGTAAATAAACGCTGCTGCTGTAGTAAATAAAATAAACGTCAGTGAAATCAGATGGCAGATATCTGTCATAAAACAAGAGTTTGCTACCTATCATTGACAGTTTAAGATTGCTTTTTTGGACAAACTGGGAGACTTCTGGTTACCTTTCAGGAGAAATGCCTTTTTGCAGAATGGATAGACTCCAGAATATGGAACAAGAACAGTTTTTACTTCAAATGGAAGCATGTAAATTCTTGTTCTGAGATCATATAACAATCCTCTTTCCCCCCCAACTGCTACCTTGATGAAATGACTCCTACTGTTTAGCTCACTTATTTGTGACTCAACTGCTTCATAAAGAGACCTTACAAGACCTTACATTACTTTCTTTTTTTATGAGAAGTACACTGTGCCATTTTCCTGGTGGAGAAACACTTTTTAAAAAAAGTTTGCTGCTCTGACTGAGAATCTGTCTTACACAGGCTTTGTTCAAAGTCCCACTTCTGGGCTTGTTACCCTAGGAAACATTTGTGGGAACCTTTTCAGACAAAAGCTGCTTCGGATTTCATAGGTTCCCCATCTGTCAGATCAATACACTAAGAATTTCAGGTACATAAAATGAAAGTAAGAATGCCTCCAATCCGGGTTCATCACATTTTATTACCACCCACTCATAGGTAGATGTGACCACAGTAGTTTCAAGGTTTAAGCCTTGCAGAGCCACCTTCAAGCTGTGGGTCTTGCACACCCCTGCAAGATCTATTCCAACAGAGGTTTCTAACCCATCATACCCTCTCAGATACTGGCCCCAGTTAGTGGTAGCTGGCAGCTTACAGGCTCACGTCCATAAGCACATTCTTAAGTGCTTTGTACTTACCTGTTTGTGGAACCAGGCCTTAGCCCTCAACATGTCATTAGGGAGCAGTAAAGAAATGGTCACAGAAAAATCACTGCAGTTAGTCATGGCAGTTATTTCTACTTTCTTTTTTGGTTAATATACCATTCCTTAGTTTGGGAAGACGTGAGGACAGTGTCGAAGGTGATTGCTCTTGGCTTTTCTAAAGCACAAATAATTTACTGAAATTCAATGGGTAACAGCCAAACATACGTACAAACAGCATCAGAAAGTGATAAGCATGAGTGGAGATATTTTGTAATAGGCCTGTGGCCTGGTTATGTTGCTTCATATTTGGGTTTGGGGAGTACTTTTAACTAAGTAGTAAAAAATATCCTATTACTCAGTAGTGTAATTCCATATTTTACACTAATTGCTCTTAAAGATCAAAAGCCATATTCTGTCCATTAATGTACACACTTACATGGCCTCCCATGAAATCAATGAGATCCACATGTGTTGCATCTGAGGCCTAAATTTTTCCCTAGAGATTCTTTAAATCCTTTTACAGAGCAGTAAGTCATAGAAGAAAAGCCATACATTCCCTTGCTTCTGCCATACCCAAAATAGACGGGAGTTACTATAGGTCACTCCGAATTTTATGCTGGTTGGTAACAGTATCCCTTGGGGCCATTTACCTGCCAGGGACTGCCATTGCTCGACACGTCCTGCTCTCACCCTAGTCCACATCTAGTCATTTCTGTGATTTTTTTACACTAGCAGAGAAACACAAAGGAAACAGTGCCCAGCTTCACACACAGCCCATTGACGTTATCATGAAGTTCTCTAGATGTCTGAGGGGCAGGGAGAAGCACGATGGGAAATCTCTACAGCTTTCTAGGGCCTGGGAGAAGGAAATTATATGCTGCAATTGCAGATACAATCATGTATGCAGATAACATGGAAGCTTTTAACAAAAAGTAGAGTGGATGCAAGATTTTACCAATGAGGACAATTGCCATGGCTCCTGATAAGAAAATTTAGGGATTCCAGTCCATCATTTTTGTATTAAGGGTGTTAGAAAACAAAAAAAAAAAAAAGGAAAAAACACTAAAACAATCTGACCTGATTGGCAAAAATTAGCAGGCTTGTTGGCAGTCTCAACAGAACTGCCTGTGTGAGGTGCAAATCTCAGAAGGAGTAGTTCAGGCTGCATTCAAACTACGGTTGAGCGGAGTTTGCAACCTTGGAAATCTCAAGACAGCAGCTGCTGAAATGACTAGAATCAGGAAAGAAGCTGATGACAACTTTCACTGCAATATTTCAGCAACTCTACTTCTAACTCTGCTTGAATATCCCCAGGGACATGAAATGAAAAATATATCTATAAGCCTTCCTAAGATATTTTAAAAATGGGAAGTGTTGAGCTTCTCAAGGCAGCAGCTGTTCTCCCTACTGTCTATCCAGAAAACATTGGTTTGTGATGTGAATCACCACTAAGAAGAATAACAGCATCATTGCCTAAGCCAGTTTACAGCCTAAGTTCAAAATCCTGCCACCCAATGCACACAACCATTTTTGAAAAGCTGAAACAGCCCCAAAGAAATTTCTAAGTCTTGTGAACTCAGAGATATCTTTCAGCTAGCACAATAAGCAGTCAACATCAGCACAGAGGCTGAAGTGCAGCCAGTGGGTGCAGGTAGCTGGGGTTGTGTG